ATGTTGCTATTTTTGTTTGTATTTCTTGCGTTTTCGTCTGAAAGTACGTTCTATTTCCGAGTCAAACGGTTCAAGATCGTTGCCTTGGGTACGGAGCATACAACGAACACTTTTTTGTAATAAAAGAAAATAAAATCAATTAAAATCAAATAAGAGCTAAAAATAAACTAATACTAAAAGTAAATAGGCCCGGCAACGACGCCAAAAATATGTTGCGTTTTTTTATATCGCAAGTGTACGATATCGTAACAAGCATTATAGTGGACTTTTGAGTCCAAATATCATTCCCACGAAGACTATACTTTAGGATTTAATCTAATTTTTTTAACTCCTATTTGATAAAAACAAGTAAATAATTGTGATGGTTGTGATTATTTTTCAACTATTTTTACCTAATTGAAATATAAAAAGATTGCAAACAATGGATGATTGAATATTTAAATATGTGATGAATATTAGAGCATAACAATTTCATCTATTAGCAAACAATGGATAATTGAATATTCAAATATGTGATGAATATTAGGGCATAACAATTTCATCTATTACATATCTCATTGAGCCTATTTAACTAATTTAATTACATATCTCTATATAAATAAACCTTAGTTAAACGAAACGCTAGTCCTAAGAATTCATATTATGATTGCAAAATTTGGTACATGTATCTTTACACGTTATACTAATTTATTGAATTTTATTATGTGGTCTACATCTCAAACTTACATCTTGATTCGTAAGAGACACACATAATCACCAAATTAGTGATAAAGTAATTCAATGCATTAAATTCATAGTAAAATCAACACATATAAGGATAAATCTTGAATAGAAAAATAAAGGATCACAAGTCGACTATATTGTTTTCCCTAATATAAAAATTAGTATTTCAAAACGTTTCTTGTGTTCCTTTTCTACATGTGACAATTCGAATGAATAATCACAAGGCAGCTCCTGCACAAATGCCCATCTTAGAAATTGTCAAATACCATTTACTTTGCATCATGCCGAGCGTTTTTTCACCTCCGCCACTTACAATCTAAAACAGAAGGATTCAAGCAGTAAGCAAATGAGTGCATGCAGAATGATCGATACTAGCCAATACAAAAAAATAGTTTAACATGAAAACCAGAAACAATAAGCTCAGGTCCTGATTCGAAGTTGAAACTAATGTCAGCTGGATAGAATTTGTTTGTAAATTGTCCAAACACTCCCCAAGAGTACCTTCACACACGAATGTGTTTCATAATAGTATATCTGTCTTTCATCCCTGCGTGACAATGTACAGTAGCTGCAGTTTTTCACATCACTATCAACAGTTCAAGTTTGGGTGCATGGACTAGTAATGGGATTGAGGCAGTGTTACAAAAATACAAAATAAGACATGCTTCATGACAACTTTACAATTTAAAGATGTCTTCTCATGTGTTTGATTTCTAAGAAATTAATGGGAATGGAAAAACAGCCAAGATTTTCTAGATGAACACTTATTCTTTGTCCATGGACATTAGATATCAGTGTGATATTATGTATTCACTCGTGAGAATTGTTTTAAAACTTGCAAGTGAATCCAAATACCCAAGTCATATCATAAGAAAGGTCCTACAGATGTACAACCCTCATGTTAAATTATGAATTATTTTAGACTGTACTGCTGAAAACAGATAAAGAAATTACACCTTAGATCCATGTATTTTGCTGGATTTCAATACAAGTGTAACTAACACAATTTCTTGGTAATGATCATAAAGAAGTCTAGTATTAGAAGAAGACTTCTAAGCGAGAAGGCACTTGATAAACTACATGATTCATGCATGAAAAACAAAAGATGGAAACTTAGATAATACCTTGAGGAGAATGCATTCCATTCCCCTTTGTACCCTTCTGTGTCTGAGACCCAGCGCGCTCAATACGCGGTGATCACTGTCTTCCATTTGCACCAGGTAGGGAGTCTCTTTTTTGAGTAAATATCCATGTCTTGTACAGCTGTACTTGATCTTGGGGAGCTATTGGCAATAGCTTTAGCTCTTGCAGACTCCGTTGCTCGCATGTAACTAGGGACAGAATTACTGCTACCACCATCTCTCGGTTCTTGATCAACATTATCTGGTTTAGTTGCATCATAGGAGTTTCGCCTCTTTCCAGTTTTATGATCCTTAGATAACTGTTCCAAGCTACTTCTTGCACTAGAATCTAGATTACAATTTGAAGGGGATTTTTTATCCACAGATGATGACCTACTTTTCCATTTAGATTCACTTTTTGCACTTCTGATTTTCTTGGGTTTCACAGATGTCTGGCTAGGAGGTGTTGCATGAGATTCAGAGACAATTATATGGCTTCAAGGAGAAGCTTCAGGCGATGACTTGTATGCTGCAGGTTGGCAAGCCTCGGATTCCAGCTCCAGCTGCACGTCAATTGGATCTGTATCTGGTTTCTCTTTTGCCTGTGATGAATCAGCAGCATTCATGGAATTATCACTTTCGCCATTAGCATGTTTAGCATTGTCAAGCCTCTCCAGCTGATCTGATTTGGTATATGATAAATCAGTAGCTGGAATACTTGACTTGCCATTAGTTTCAATTTCCACAATCTCGTTAATTTTTGTATGCTCAGTCCCCTCGGAAACTTTCTGTCCCTGTTCAAATTCAATGGCTCCAACCTCAGACCTATCTGGTGAATCAAGAGTAGAAGAAATGGAAAGTTCAGTCCAACATTGAGAGCCAGCAATTTGAACCACTGAAGCATGCGAAACAGAATTCTCAGCCAAGTCCATCTCCCTAGACCAGAGAGTTTGATCCGTTACAGAAAAACTCTTATCTACTTTATGTTCAACTCCAGAATGTTGATTGGATAGACTGGTTAACTTAGCCGAATTGGTGGCTGAACTCGATTCCTTAAATTTTGACTGAGCAGCAATAAATGCAGGAATACTGACCTTCCTTGAACTGAATGATAACTCTTTACATCAGTTTCAGGTTGCTCCGAGGGGAACCTTTTTGCAGCGAGCATATCTTCATTTTCTGTTTCAGCCTTACCTGGAACAGATTTGTGTTCCACTTCCGAAATCAAATCTGATTCTTTAGCCTGAATAGGAAGTGACTCTGGTGTATTGTATCTTGAATTAGATTCATCGATGTTCTGGGACTGAGACTGCTCACATATATGACTCGATGAAGGTGGGGTTGATTTGTTAGCTTGGAGGTCTAAGTTTTCTGCATCGTCGAGTGATCAAATTGTCATCATTTTCAGATGTCCAAGATGATGCTACTCCAACAGGCTTCAAATCTTTTGACTCGCAATAACTTTCAGATGGTACTGCAATTTCCACTTGAGCAACAGAACATCCACTGTTTTCCTTCTGCTGCTTTGCAGCTAATCCCGATTCCAGTATCTCTTCATTGCTCACTGATAAAATAGACTTCCATAACTCCAACCATTTCCAGGTCCAATCAGATTTTGAAGAATCACACTTGATATTGATATTTTTGGTTCTTGGTGTTGATTCCATACTGTGGAGCTAAAACCGACTGCTTTACACTTTAATCCGGGCTCAGTAATGATCGAACACCACAGTTACCAAACCAAGTCACACACCGTCACTTTCCCAAATCAAAAACAGTAGCTTTAGTTTCTAATGCCCACAAAGAGCTAGAGGATGAAAGGATTAGGCCCAAGATATGTTAACCACACAAGAAAGGAAGAGAAGCATATTGTTCAACAAGAGGAAGCACAAAGCCTTCGAGAGCACGAAGCAAGAGGAAGAAGAATCTGTTCTCAAGAAACAAAATGGCGCCTCAATCACTTTCACAATATTCCAACAGTAATGGGTATAGTATTAAATAGGTTAAGCTTAGGAATGGGCTTTAGGTCAAGTGATAGGCCCAATAGGATAATAGTTAAGTGGGCTAGCAACGTAAAACAATCTATACCATTTGAGTTGGGCCATGAGCAGCACTAAT